GCCAGTCCCGCTCCCACCCCGGGCTGCCCTGCACTGGGTCACAGTGGGCACCCACAGCCAGGGCTTCCGCCTGGCGGCACAGGCAACTGACAGCCTTGTTAGGACTAGTGGGGGAGGGGCGAGCCTTCTGCCGAGTGCGGGCGCGAGAGGGAGATGCGCCCATGTCTGCGGGATCGGGGGAGCCAGCCTGAGTTGGGGGAGCGGGGGGGGGTCACAGAGGAGAGCAGTCAGCAGAAATGGGGGGCAGAGTCCAGAGGACACCTTTGATCCAGCCATGCCTGACACTGGTCCAAGTCCTGGGGTTTTTTGTTTTTGTTACATAAGCTGATAAATTCCCTTCTGGGCCTCCGCGGGTTTGGCTTAGGTTTCTGTCACCTGCCACAAAGCCTCCCAGTTCATCCTGAGACTGACGCTGGGATAGGCCTGCCCTTTTGGGTGTGAGTGGTCCCTGGTGGCCACACAGGGCCTCTTGCCCTCCCACCCCATGTAGCAACCCCCACGGCGCCCCCAACTCATACACACACACATCACAGAGTGGGAATGTGGGAGCGCCTCATTCCTCTTCTGACTCCGTAGCTGGCAAACTCCTACTCATCCTACAAAACCCAACTCAGGGCTTGTCCCATGAAGCTCTCCATGAACTTCTCCCCACACCACCCTGCTGCGGGGGTTCCCTCTCTCCTGACCTCTGCCTCCAGGCCCAGGCAGCCCACCCCAAACCCTACGGCACCGTCACTGCCCTCGGGCCCTGCCTCCGGCTGGAACGTGTGCAAGGATGAAGAGTTCTGATGCTGCGTCTGTCCAGCCGACCCCGCAGTGCTGGCCATCCTGTCCGGGGCTGGTCTGCAGTTGCGGCTGCTCAGGACTGTGCGCTGCCCCCTCCACACCAGCCCGATGCCATAGCGCCCGAGGGCAGGGCTCGGGAAGGACGAGGACAAGTGTGGGGGCTGAGAGGAAGGACCGCGCAGGAAGGAGGCGAGGCCGGGCCTGCCGCGTTTGTGCAAGTGC